CTTGTTTTCATCATTTGGGCAAGACTTAATTTTCTGAAAAATAAAAAAAAAATAAAAAAAATAAAAAATAAGCCTTCATTTCTTTAATAGCTTTCTTGACCCTGCTTGTTAACCCTGTTGGTAATTTCTAAGATTTGATGTTACCTTTCCTGACATGTGATATACATACTAGGTAAGTTTCTATTGTGGTTTTTAGTAACCTCCAAGCATTTTGAAGGGATTCAACCCTCCTGACTCTTCCTTTTAAGTTTCTTTTTCCTGGTTTCCTCTACTTAGGGAGGCTTCCTCCTTTTAATTCAAATGTGAATAGGCTTCCTTGGGCATTTTTCACTTAAATTAAATCTTAATTAAATATTTCACTTAAATATTAAATCTGATAGAACTGTGGTCATTTTTTCCAAGTTGGTTCCACAACAATCTAAGAGTGTTGTTGAATAACTTCTAAGAGTTATGTGATAGCAGCATAGAAAGCTGCTTTATACTGAATCTACGTAGCTCAGTATTCTTGACACTGACTGGCAGCAACTCTCCAGGATTGTGGCCAGGAGTTGTTCTTGCACTACTTGGAGATGCCAGATCTGGGCCCTTCTGCTTGCAAATAATGGGCTCTGCTGCTGAGCATACAGTGAACACATGGATGGCCCCCTTCATCACAGGGGCCTGTGCACTAAAAATCTTGGTCAGGACATACCTTGTTCAACCAAATCAAGACAAAGAAGAAAAGATGCAAGAGATCAGAGCCTCAAATGTAGGCTGCACGTGTGTGTGTGCGTGCGTGCGCGTGCTCCCCCCCCCCCCCAGGAGCAAGCCCCATTTAACTCACTGGGAATAACGTTTCAGTTGATATGCGGCACAGTGAAGCCTCAGTGGCTGCAAGACCTGTTAATGTTACCCTGTTGGGGCGGCTGGCAGCATTTAATTGGTAAAAGCAGAGGGAAAGGACTTGTTTCATTGAATGCCATGTCTGCAATCCAGGCATGGCTCCCTCATGGCTGCTGTTTCTTAAAACAGTGTTGGGAGATGCAATTATGGATCTCCATCACCTTGTCTGGTTTAGTCCTGAGGCTCTACCTTTAATATTCCTATTGCTAGTGCTGTCAGTCTGGAAGATGTATTTTAAAAAATCCCTCTGTGTCTGCCTGCTGGCATTTGAAGAAGGGCAGTAACTCCTAAAGGATCCTGACACACTCAGGTCTTACCTAACCTGTCTTTACATACCTCTAATGAGGGAATGGAAGAACTTTTGCAGCTAGTTTGTTCAGTTTCCATCAATTATCTCTTTCTGATATTTAACCTAAAACCATCTTCCTGTAATTTGACCCCATTAACTTTTCCAGCTACTACAAGGACCATGGAGGCTGACTAGTTTGTGGCTTACTTAAAGCAGTTATTAGTATATTGAAGACAGTTACCTGATTGCCTCATTCTTCATACTTTCCTAGTTTATCTTCCCCTGCTGCTCCACCTCTGCTCTAGGCTGCTGCTGAAGAGAGTTTGGAAATGCAGCTCTTGCAAGACACTGTGGCCAGTCTGCTTTCCAGACTGGTGTAAGCTTTACATGTACTATTAGAGTGTACCAGTCGCCCTGACTTCCAGTTTGTTTATGAGCCCACTCCAAGAAGCTTTGTTTTAATTCAAATTCCTTAGCAGATTGGGTACCTGGATATCCTTTCACATGAACCTACCCCACCATCAAAATAAGTTGGTTGGAAAGTGGGGCAGGGCCTTTTCTGTGGTGGTTCCCTGATTATGGGCATCCCAGAAAATGCAAATATGTTTCCATCTCTGGTTAGTTTCAGGTGGACAGTCAGGTTGTTTTTATTCCATATGGCTTTTGTTAGTTTTAAGTTTGAGATTGAAAGCTTTGATTCTATTCTGTTTAGGATTCTTTAATAGTTCTTTTTTAGTCTGGTTTATTGTTTTGGTCTTAATTTTTATATGTCACTTTGGGGGACTCTAGAGCTGAAAATTAGTTTGTAGATTTTTAAAATTAAGGAGTCTGTTCATTTTATTTATTTTGTAGCACTTACATACTGTTAAGGATAATAAAATCCCTTTCCTTATTACACTCCCTTTCTTAACCTTTTCTCATAAGCCCACTTACAGATAAGATCTGCTGATGTCTGGAAAGTCCCATTGACAACTAGCCTATGACACAAGTGTATAGTTGTTATAACTGTTGTTCATCTGTTGTGCGCAAAAAAACCTGTATCTTACAGCATAGTACTCTTGATGTGATGCAAAGGCAGGTATTTTGTTACTGGCAAAATGCAGTGCTCCTGTGCTGATTAGTTGAGTTGTGTGTGAGATGTGGAAATGTGAAGGTTTGAAGCCTGTGATGTTACTGGTAATAAGAAATAAAACTGCCCATACTATTAGCCTGTTTTCTGAAATGAAAAGAGCACTGTATGTGGCTATTATCTTTCCTTGGTGTGCTACCATAGTACTAAAGTGTTCATCAAATGTAGCTGATCTGAAAAAAAAAAACAAATGAATCAAGAAGCAGAAAGGCTACTCCTCACTTCTCCTCAACTGCAGCGTCATTATTTCACGAACTGTAACTGTCACTTGAAATTCATGTTTGGCTTCTGTGAAGCATTTATTTAGTGGCATGAGGTCACCAACTCTTTCAGCCTTGCACTCACTATCTGGAACATGGCGGTAATAATAGTGACCAGTCTTACGGGGTTGTTGTAATCCAGTCTGGTAAAAAAAAGTATAATGAATGCTCTGATGTGCTCTATACTGTATGCTGTTAGCAGTACAAGGATGTGTAAAGCTGCAGTGTGAGCACTAAGTAGTCCAGGTGCCCAGCACTGAATCCCTGGATGTCTTAGCAATTGTGAAGGTCTCAAGTGGTGTGCCCTTCAAAATGTTTTAATAAAACTTTTGGAAAATATTAGGGTAATATTTTTTCCTCTCCCCTTCTAGGCTCTAGCCTTGCATTTTCTTCATCCCTTTGCCATAATATTTCTCCCTCCCTCTTGGCCTCAGGCCTCACTATTTCTCCCCCTCCCTACACCACTTCTTTGATTCATTTTTGACCAGCTGGGCCCCTTCAGCAGCTATTGCATGACTAGCCACATCCTCTGTGGGAACCATTTTGTGGTGGCACCCACAGCAATTTCTCAGATTTCCAAATGTGCCCATGGGGCCAAAAAAGTTGGGGTCTCCTGATTGAGTCCTCCTTTTAAAGTTGCAAACAGCTGCTTGGCCGCAGTTCTTGTAGCTGTTGCAGGCGTGTGGTGTGCTGCACTGTGCTGGCAGAAGTGTAATGCTGCAGATAAAATTGGAAGACTTTTACTGTCTAGAAAGACCTTTAATCCCTTGTAAATGTGTTTTCAGACCTCCTTGCCAACTTTATATTTTTTAGCTTTCTTAACTCTCTCTAAACTGGATTCTTTGAGCTCCTGAAGCAGTAATGTGGAACCAGCTGTGTTTTGCATTCAGGCTGCAACCCTATGCTCATTCTGCTGGGAGTTTATCCCATTGAGTTCAGTGGTACTTCTAAGTAAACATATAAATAGGATTGCATTGTTAACATGTGAAATTAGGTGGAGAAAATGGCTGAGTGTGGCTCTGCTATAGCAACCACAGCAAAGATTTAAAAGATTTAGAGTGACTGTAAACTGCAGGAGGTCACCCATGGTTTGCATGCAACCAGGGCCACATCTGCAATATGTATCCAGGTCCACTGGTTGGAGCATGCAGCCTCCAACTGATTGTGAAATAAGGCTCCCAGGTTGCCCTGCTTTAGGCTATGCAAAATGTTAGTGGCACTCTTTCACTGAAGGGTGAGCGATGGGAATATTCAAGTTTAACATGGGAATGATCAGTGGGTTTTAAGAGCAATCCTTGTGGTTGCTTTGTTAAACTCTCAGCTAGCCAGAAATGCAAGCCTTCCTGAGCCAGAGTGTGCAGAATGGGTGTCTGGTGCCCTTCTAAATAGAGCTCTTGCTTGAAAGTGTATTAGTGAGCATTTCATAGCATTTATCTTCAAACCAAGGTATAGAATTGCAGCTCCTGCCTATTTGGTGGTGCAAGGTAAAGAGAGCAGAGTTTGATTTCCAAGTATAGTAGGTTTAAAAAAATGAATGTGTGAACTGTGCCACGTGGTGAGAGGGTGGTGCTCCCCCCTTCCCTAGTTCTAGCTTGGCTTTTTTTTTAAATACCTCCCACAATAGTGTGCAGAAATAGAGACTAGGTATATCGTATTAAGATTTTTCACTTGTTTTCCTATAAAGGAAAATTCCTAGGGTCTGTGCACCACTCAGAGTGGCTCAAACAGTTCAAAACCACACATGCAATAAAATACAATAAAAATGCAGAAGGAGAGCAAGACCTTAAATATAACAAACACTAAACAGGCAAAAGTTTGGCAGTAGGAATGCCTGCACCTACAGGAATAGACATCCAGAGAGGAAAGCCATCTGTCTTTCATGGTCAAGCTGCTGCCACTGCTAGCGTCCATCCCGTTCAACTGTGCCTCCACCTTGTCTGAGCACAAAAAGCGTTCAGGCATTGATACTACTGAAGGAGGATTACAGTATGCTTCTCTTTTGGTAGAAAGGTGAGGTACAAATAAACTGAATAAATAAACTGTCATCCAGCAAGCATTTTCTCCCCTATCCATACTGTGGGTACTAAATTCTTTTAAGTTTTCCAACCAGTATGTCCTGGGCAAATGTGTCACACTCTCCTTCTTGTTTAGAGGGGAGGCAACTTTAAGTGTTCCGTATCTGCTTCCAGCCACATGACACTTAGTACAGGACTTGCTGTAATGTGCTGCTTTAGCAGAAGGGAAGGGGAGGAAAAAAGATAACAGCAACTAGCAGACTGCTTTAAACAGAGGCTGTGTTACTGCTCACTATTATAGTTGTGTTCTAACTTGCTTACTGTAAGAAAATTATTAGGCCCAGTGAACTTCAAGGTAATCCGGCTGCTTGCAGTGTTGTATGTGAAGTACTGCACCCACTAAGCCTTCTGTGGCTCAGGTGTTACAGTGTGTGCCAGAAATGTGTTGTAGTGTTGGGAAGGCAAGGGCAGAAAGAGACCTGCTGCTGAGAGTGCTTTTATGCAGCAGGTTGTTGATGTGGAGAGATTTTGTGCACTGCTGCCATCAGGTCAAAGGTAGCCTTTAATAATGTTTATTTCATGAGAGACCTTGAAGCATCCATGTCCTTGTTTTCTGAAAAGCGCTGGCAGCAACAAGCGCCAGTTAGCCTGGATTGGATACAGGTGCTATTTTAGCAATTAAGTTGGTGCTGGACAGTGATTTTCTTGAAACTAGGATTATTGCTTAAATTCTTTTTAGTGAATTAATCACCTATCTTTTCTGTTTGAGCAGATTATAGAAACACATCTTTTGAAATGCTGAAGGATGGGTGAGACTTTATCCCACAATAAAAGCTGCCATTTGAGGTTAGAAGAAAATATGGACTGTAGAGCATTTATATTTTATCATCTGGCTCTTACATTAACTCAACGGAATCAAAGTAGCTTCTGAAAATAAATTGTGTGCCCCCAGTTTTCACTTGAGTTGTGCCACAAGATATTGTATGATTTAAAATCTACTGCTGTCAATTGATGAAATGGCACTTTACCCTAATCAAACCACTTTAAAGCAAGCATTCATACTTGGAGCATGTTCACACAATGGTTTGGAAGGGAGGCAGATTGTGTACTCAGTTTGCAAGCCTGCATATCTGGCTTAGGAAAGAAATGCTATCCAAAAAAGTGACTAGTAACTATTGGTTTCCTTAAAACTTATTTTTTAATTAAAGAATAGGAATGTCACTAAATGTAAACTGAAACCTATATGACTGAGCATGTTACAAAAGGCATGTTCATTCTGCGAAAGTGTCTGTGGTAGTATGAAACTTCCTGCGCTTTGGGCTGTCACCTTCCAAAACTTTGTTAACCAAGTGAATGCTTTACTGTGTCCCTGAACCTTTGTGTCTGTGTTCACCAGGGATGCAGGAGCTCTAGGGCTGCAGAGTTTTCACATCTGGCCCATAGAAATGCATCTGAAGGAACTGCAGAATGATCTCTGCGGTGATCTCAGATCTGAGATGAAATGAGTGCTTGGGCCTGGCAGGTGCTGGAGGAGCAGTTGCTCTTCCCAGTGTTAGCTGCTTCCTTTTACTCCACATTGGCAGAGTCCTTTCTCTGTCCTGAGAGAGGCTTGCCTATGGGCCAGCTTTGTGTATAACATCAGACAGCACAGCCAGGATAGATTTGATTTAAATCAAATCAATTTAAATCATGATTGAAATCATTAGTAAGACTAAATTTAAATCATGGCTTTCTACATAATTTGCCTGCTTGCTTTGTCCATAGTTAGAGGAACTTCGTTAAAATATTCCTAAACTGGGTCTCTTATGGCTTGCTGCCATTATAGGTTTCTCTGCCAGGGAAGGAATAATATGATCAAGCTCAGGCCATACACAAAAAGATCCAAAGGTTCTTTTCTTGTGGAGTATTCTGCTCAAAAGGTTTCACTTTCGTTTTTACTGTTTGCCCCTCCCTCCTCACACTTAGCTTCTTGCACAAGTCTATTCCACTCCCAACAAGCTTCTTCTGTTCGTTTATCATTTTTTTTTAACTTAGGAGGTCAGGGGTTAATTCTGTATACATAGATTTGCAAATGAACAATGAGATTAAGGACTTTTCATCAACTCTGTATGTTTGATCTATATCATTTTTGCTGTGAAGAAGAGGCATGGGATCTCTGCAGACACAAATTCACAGCTATGAGAACTGTAAAACCAAGCACCTGTGATAATATCTTCTAGATAGAAAATTGCCCAATTATCTTACAGAAACTTCCGGAAGAGCATGACACTGTGAATGGATTAATGGCATTCATTTACCAAAAAATTTAAACATTGCATGAATATACTTTCTCATGCTACATAATTAATAACTAATCCTTATTTCATAATGGACCATAATGTATCTTCAATAGAAAACTATAGTTTTTTCCCACAAAAAGCATTTTATGTAAACATCCTATTTAAGTCAAAATCCAATTAAAGTTAAATAAAAATTGTATTCATTTTTTAATTTATTTTTATCCACTCTGCAGCATAGTCCTCTTCATCATTGGCTGAATGCATGCAACTTGCTTATGTATAGGATTTCTATTAGTCCTACTTCATATGTTCCAAGACTGATTCCTGTATCTAGGAAAATAGATTCTGGGGCAAAGACCTGCTGGCTAAGATGAAATCCTGGCTTGTAGTTTAGAGAGAGTAGGAGGGTTTGCATGATGTAAGAAGGCATGGTGAAAACTTAGTCATGGGTTTGTTGTGTTGTCCTGAGTTCCTTTGTGGTGGAATTAATTTCCTGAAACCACAGAGAACCAATCTGTTGTAAGGTTTTCATGCTTTGCTATGGCTTCTCTGATTGTCCGGGCCCAGGATGTCCATTTTACCATTGTACATTTACCATATTTAGTACAGAGAACCACGTAGAGTCACAACACCAACCATACCCTGGAAAGAGCAGCCATGGAAGTGGCCACTCCGAGCCTTCAAACTCTACTGTTCCAAGCTTCTTACCAACAGGCACATAATTGCTTGGTTTATTTCCACTGGTAGAGTGATGTGTCCACCTCCTTATTTACTTTTGGAAACAGGGAGACAGCAAGAAAACATGCAGAATGGTTTATTTTCAGTTAATAAAAATCTCTCTGGGAGCTGGAACAACTAAGAAGCACTGAAGACATACAGGTACACTTGGGGTGAGGAGAACATAGCTTGGGATCACAGCTGGCCAGTCAAGAGGTGGCTGCTGCAGTGCATAGGCGAGAATAGGGAAAGGATGGGGATTTCACCCCTGAGGGCTTCTGGCATAACCCCAACCCTAGACTGTGATAGGCAGTGATATAGTCTCCTCTCTGTTCTATTGCCTCCCACTCCATATGATGGGGGGACGACTTTTTTGAACATGTGTGTGCACACAGAGATCCATAGCAGCAAGGGTACAGAAATCTTTCTCCCTTCCACTTCCCAGCTGTTGATTTAACAGTTAGGCAGCGGACAAAGTTGGCAGGGTCCCACAGACTGGCTGAGGGCTCCATGTGGTCAGTGGGCTATGGGCTGCCCCCTACTGCCCTACAACCTTCTCTCCTTCATTGTTCATAGTGGCCGCTGTTTGCTGGTACCTTCTTCAGAAAGCTCCTTCCACTCACTGATGGGTCCTGACACCGGATCTAGAAATGCTGCCACTAAGAAGTGTGTCCTGCGAGGAAGGACCAGGCTGGAGCACACTGTGGCCTTTAATCATGAGTAAGCTCCTTAACCTTATGCTCCTTAACTCTTTGATAGGAAATATTTCAGAGTGACAGGGATTAACCAGAGAATAGCAATGTAGCTTTCACAAACCCTCTGAGTCTCTTCTAGGCAGGCCCAATCTGTATCCCTGACAGCCCTTGATCATTAACACCTGTATATAACGATCTATGTGGCCAGGGTAACTCATGCCAGGGAGGATGGGCGTAGCAGGCCAACAGGAGAGACAGGCATCAGGATGGGCAAGGGTGAGCTAGAGCTTGGTGCTTTTCTTGGTATCCAGTATGCTTGAGAAAGGAGACCCGGCTTTTTCAGTGGTGAACCCTACTGATAAAATGCCCACCTGGAGAGGCTCGTCAAAGCTTCATGTCATAGGGGTTAACTTGTTTTCAGAAAACCCACCCACCTGTTCAACTCGGCATCTCTGTGCATTTGCAGTCTTCCTCAACCTGGTCGCCACGAGGGCTGGCAATGATAGGAATTGTAGTCCAACATTTCTGGGAGGGAACACAGTGGTTTGTATTTTGTATTGTTTACTGTCAGCACTGAAATGATGTTGGTGTGTAAAATATGCATTATCTCAGACTTCTGTTATTGCCTATGAGATGTCTCATTGTCTGTCATTTTCTTTTCACAGGGAAATATATATCTCCATTTGAAACAAATTTGATATCTACTAACAAATCTACCAAGAAATACAATACAAAGCAGACCCTGGAATGAAAAAGGAGTAAATGGTAAACATGTTTCATGTACTTTTTAAAGTTTCACCATTTAAAACTGAGATGGTATTATAGAAACAAGCTTCTCTATGAAAATTCTGTGTGTGAGATATCCAGGGAAATTATCTTCCTAGGAACATATTATTTCTACTTGTCATCCTCTGTTTTCCATTTGAACAATGTTTCAGGTTTTTTGCCATTGGTTTTTAGTAGAAGTGCTTTCTAGTTTGCCTTGACTAGCTAGGGTCATTCATAGATACAGTTGCAGTTAAATTTTTTGTCAATTAGAATATCTTGCAATTGTTCTTGAAATAGTCTTTCTTAATCTAATATCTTAATTTGGAGCATTTTCATTGTGGATTCTGCTGTAAGCGTTAATGTCTCCATCTGAAGTCAGATCTCTAAAATGTTTGATTTCATTTTGCCAAATCACAGATACTTGTTTTCTCAATTTAAGTTAGACCTATATTGAAATACAAACCATTCCATGTGAGAGACTTCAAGAGACAATTCTATTTCTCCATTGATAACAACTTTGTAATACTATGTAAAGATGTTGTGTCTCTGAATTCAGAGGACTAGAGTAGTAAAACAGATCTTAGCTACAGGTCCATATAAGTTTTCCCTCCTTTTAATTAATGTGTGTTAGTAGGGAGTAGTATCCAGCTTAAGATGAGCATGTGGACACCCTGCTGATCACAGTGCCTAACTCTTTTCCAGTGAAATCTTTTTAGTTGCTTTGAATTGCCATTTGGTAGGCAACTGAGAAATTGATAGTCTATATATGTTAAAATTTGGAGGTAAAAGTGCCCTTGGAATACTCAGTGGTACAAGTTGAAGAATTTTCTTTGCAAAAAAACCTGAAGAACTGCTGGTCAAAAGAGCATCAGTATGTATATGGCAAATTATTTAAGTATCTGTCATGATAAAAAAAAACTCTTTTGGGTGTAGAAAAAATCTTAACAGTGAAGGACAACAAATATCTTGGTTGCAATTATACAGTCAGCTGGTAACTGCTTCTATAAAACTTAATTCCAAAATTAAAAAGTACACAATCTATTTAACCATTTGTTTTCAGTGCCTGATGCCCTGCCTAATGCTTATTGTAGTCAGGTTCCTGCTGAGACGGAAGGCTTATTTTGCTTCACTTAGTTAATGTGAGAGTTCGACCTACTTTCTGATGCCAGTCTAGTTGTGCTCTTGCAAATTCTATTTCCTGAGTCTCATACATTATCATTAACCTGCCTTGTGTCTTGCTGTGCTCCGTTTATCTCCCATACCTTGTCATTATATGCTGGGCTGGAATGTATCCTTCAGGTATTCCCCTTGGCTTCTGGAAAGTCTTTGTAGAATCTGGCAGAGCACTTGGTGTCTTGAATATTGGCTTTTACTCATTCTAAATATGAGTTTCTGGTCTTCATGGTTCAAATAAAACAAAGAAAAAGCTCTAGAAATGCACAGAAGGTAGCCTAGAAATCAGGCTGGGGAGCTGATTTTTCCAAGCTGGAGTTTGTGGCCTACGTTAACCAGCAGCCCTTGCAGGGATCTTTGTCCCTGTACTTTACCTGTCGTACTGCTTTCCTTCGCTCTGCAGGCTTATTGTGACAGTGAATGAGACAATCCTAGGTCTACTATTATGAACCCCTTAGAGGGAGGGAGGGATACAAATGTGATGATAAAAGAAGTCGTTTATAGGCTTAATAGTAGTAGGCCAAGTTAATAATAAATTTTGAAGCTTATTTAGATTCAATCAAAATTGTTTGGCCTTGTTTCCACACTAATGTGTGCTTTAGGTTTAGAATTGCAGCTGTAATGCAGCAGTCAGGGTTGTAATGTCAGCCTTTTTACTGGAAATTGAACACTGTTCAGATGTGTTAGACTAGAGTATTCAGGGAGGGTGCCTGTAGGTGAGTGGTAGGAATTGCTATTGTGCAGTTATTCTTAAGGATCCATAATTGCATGGATTTGATACTTTACTGGGTTGACTTCTGTGTATCTTTGACACCCTCTCTCGCTTCCACTCTAACACAAAGATAGGTAGGTGGAAATGTCAACTATCGGACTCCACAGGGCCTTGTACAGTCAACAGGCTAATGTGTTGCCTCTTGGCAAGCAGGGGGCATACAAGTTAACCTTTCATTGCACTTGTTATGGAGGAGGAATAGAAGAATACAGAAGTGCAGAATTGGCAGTTTCTTAGGAATCCAAATTCAGCAGTCCTTTCAGGCTCTGAGCGGGCAATCAAAGCAGATATTTTCATAGCTTCAAAGCAAGGTTAATGCGACAACTTCTTTGGAGAGGATTGAGGGCAATCGATTCTAACAGAGGCTTTGCTCCTGAGGCTGTTAGAAATAGTTCTAGAAGAGGATTTTCATCTGGATAGTTGAGGGGTTAACTCACCTCCAAGTTCATTTTTTGTCCTGGTGCTGCTCACCACCACCTGCCTCCTTGGTTGTTTGCTGGAAAGCAAACCAGGCACATTAAATCTAATCACATATTAATATCAGTCTAGTGTGGCCCTTTTGCCTCTTCATTTGCTTGGGATAGCAGGCACTAGAATAAAGAAGAGTTGAATTTGATGGCACATTTTAATTTGAGCAAATTGTACTGGCTAAGTATATGTTAATAGTTTTTGGTGAAGTGAAAGAGCAAAACATTATGCAGGTCATTAATACTGTGGCTCTTGACAGTTGGGGGTGCTACTGAGATCCTCTTTAGCTTTGGAATTTTTGCAAGACATTGCCTACATGCTTCAAAGCCCACCTTTTTAGCCACAAGGACCATAACCTTCCTTGGTTTAAAATAAGGTTGAAATTCTTGGGATGCTAAATTCTGTGCCCCTCACTGTTAGGAAGGGACAAGTGCCAGGGATTTTCCATGGCCTTTTTTGCTTTTGGATATAAAGATTCAAATACAAGTATGAGCAGCACAAAGTGCAGTGAAGCTAGCAAAGTTGTCCCACAGATTGAAAACTCCCACTGGAAAAGAAATGCGTGGCTACAGAGTAAATGATATGCCCAATCATCTAAATATAAAAACCTAAATCAGCCTGATATCCATCAGCTTTTGTCTCCTTTCACTTTTTGTTTTTCCCTGATTTCTTAACATTTCCTCATGTCATATGTTTACTGTCCTGTTCTTTGGCACTGCTTGAAGGAAATTAAATTAAATTTGTAATTTGGATGTTCTTCCAGTTTTGCATACTGGGTTAGTATACAAAATTACTTTTGATCTTGTTTCAGCAGGAGTGTTGCATTGTAACCACAGATTCCACTTTAGCAGCAGCTTTTGAAAATGAATGTGGCAGCTTAAATTGGGATCTAATCATCTGTTTGGTCTGTTTCAGCTGTATGGGTGCCCAATCCAGGTTTCCCCGGGGGATGAGAATTGCAGATGAAATGCTGTCAGTATGAAAAGTGTTTGTGTGAAGCTGGCCTTAACATACTCAAGCATGTCAGTGTTGCCTATTCTGCTTCAGAATGCAACTTTAGTTAGTCTGTAATCAAGATCTCTGAACCTTATCATCTGAATAGTTAATACTGGTGAAAACTTGCTTTCTTTGGCAAGTGTCAAGTGCCTTCCTTTCCTGTCCCCACCTCTCCCAGCATTTGCATACTTTCATGGCCCATGAGTCTCCCAAGCCACTGAAATGTGGCCTCCATCCTACAGTTTGCAAAGGGACCGAAGGAAACAGTTATGCAGTTTGAATCTAGCCCAAAAAAAGACAGTAGCCAGTAATTTGAGGGGGCTAGTTGGTTTAGGAAATAATGATGCTTGCAAGTGTGCCTGCTCTGCTTATGAATATAAAATAAATAGCTTATTTTTAAAGGTGTTTATTAAACCTCCTTGCCCCCCCCAATAGGGACAAGACTTCCTGATGAGGCGTTTACTGCACAACTGCCTTTCCTCATCCACAGGATTTTTCAGGGGGTCCAAATGATGCTAGCACCTACTTGTAACCCTCCCATGTCTTCTCATTGCTGCTCCTGTTTTTTTTTTCCTTGTACAAATAATTTAAATGAGTTGCAAGGGGTGGGGCAAGATGGACTAGCTGAATTATGCTTTCAGTAGCTCTAGGAGTTGTCCATCTGGAAGTAACTCTACCCTGGAACTTCCAAATGTTCAAACAAGTTGGGAATAAAAATCAGTACAGGTACTGGAATCAGTAAAGAGCACGACCCTTTCTCATTTTTCTCTCCTTACACTGACTTATTTATAGTTAAATGTTGATATACTTTTTCCAACAGTTATTTAAAATGCTTTACAACAAGAAGAAAGAATAGAGGAGGAATAATGTAGAATAATATAATTAAGGAATTAAGAACAGCACGAAAAATGCTTGAATAGTTGTTTGCATTACGGTTTGGGATATCAAGAGTGAATATGCATTTATAGGTATGTTACCTAGACTTTGAGTCTTGACTGAAAAATGGTTTTATTTAACTCCTTGCCAGGATCAGTGTCAATTCCAGGCACCAGTATTGTGTTTTTTTGTTCAAATCAGATTAGTGGTTAACTTAATCTTTGGGAATGGAGGTTGTGGCAAGGAGGGTGGTACTTATTCAGTTTCCTCAACCAAGCTCTGAGTATAGTAATTATAGTAGGCAAATATCTGTATTTTATTCTATAGGTAGTCTGCAGGTTAAGAACGAGTTCTATTCCTGAGAATATCTTTAAATGAAATTTGTATGTAAGGCAGATCACATAAGCAAAATAATTTGTCTTAGTATATGCATATATTTTACCTTTGTATGCATATAAAACAAGGAACACGCTCATATTCACTAAAACATCTTAAACACAAGAAGCATTGTATTAATGATGATAATACAGTTATAATAAAGTAACTACCGGTCCTGGAGGGGGGGGGGGAAGAGAATGAATCTGTATGTGTGTAGTTATACAGTATTGTAAAACAAATAGAAGAAACACTTGAGGTAACATTAACTGCTTGATGATGGAGATCTCTCAGGAACTATGTGGCCACTGAGAGACATGTTGTCAATCGTTCGGGA